AATAAATAAATAAATATTTTAGGGATAAAATCAGTTGCATTTGCTCTAACATGGATTCATTTGCTGTAGTGGCCCAAACGATGCGTGTATTATGCCTACTTGTCAATTTCTTATGGGAAAGTTTCCGTTTATACTGCTAGAAGAGATAAATAAGATTCTTTGTAGCCCAAGACCAACTAACCTGCGTATTTGTCTTTCCCAACCTGATTAAGGCAGCTAGGGTAGGTCTGGGCAAAAGAGGACAAAGAATGCCCAGGGCTTCAGTGGAGAAAGGAATTGTACTATCCATCCTTAAAATGGCTTTTGTAAAGCCTCTACTGAAAAAGCTCTCTCTGGATCCCACCATGTTACATAATTTCTGTCCAGTTTGGCTAGTGGGATTACCTCTTAATTTTAGGGCATCTGGAGTGAGGTGGATTAACTATTTCATTCTTTTTCAGACCTGAGATTGGAATTGAGACAGTTGTGGTTGAGTATACATTTTTTTGACAAGCACTAGACAGGGTATATGTCCCTGTTGATTCTGCTAGACTTAGTGGTATTTGATATAATGAAAGTTGATTCAGAACGTGATGTTGAAGGATTCATTCAGCTCTTTGGACATTAATATATGGTGTTCCTTAAGAATCAATCTTGTCTCCCATTTTGCTTAATATGTTAATGAATCTTCTGGGAGAGATGATCAGGAGATGATTTGGGGTGTATTTTCATCAGCAGCTTTATTTCTCTTTTTCATCTACTACTAGGAAAACTTTTGATGTTCTGAATCATTGTCTAACCCACAGAACTGATCTGAATTTATCAACTAAGTCTTTATCCAGACAAGATGGAAGTAGACTAAAAAGTTTAATCTGTTTGGGATGAGTAGGATTTACCCTCAAGAACAAGATTTGCAGTTAATGTTACTTTAGCTTTATACCTCAAAGCTCAAGTTCCCTATACCCAGAACTGCCTTTGTCCATCTTAAGTGGATCAACTGTGTGTTTTTGATGAAGCTAGACTTGGCTATTATGATACATATTTAGTTCCATCTAGTTTCTGCTGTTTTAATAAAAACGACTTAGGTAACTTTGAAGTGCTTTTGGGAACTACATTTGGTTTAGAATGCAGCAACAACAAAGTTAGTGGATGTCTGAGGCAGTGGTCCTGCAAAGGCTGGGTTGGTTACCTCTTTGTTTCTGGGCACAATTTAAAATACTGGTGATGACTAGAGACTAGGTCCAGGATAATTAATGGACTTCTTCATCCCAGACCAGCTTTACTAAATCCTACGATGGAGAGCCCTTTCTCTATACCCCTACTGTGGCAACAGCATGATTTGGGGGGTTTCTCAGTGGCCACATTTAAACTGTGGAACTCCCATGTTTTGGGCAGGGCGGGTTGGTACCTTAAATGGTAGTTTTCACCAAGTGGTTAACAGGTTCCTGTTTAAGAGAGGCATTCCTTCCCTAGGTAGTATAACTTTTATTTGAATATGTGATCTGTCTTCTTTTGTATTTTTGTCTTGTTTTTACTTTCTTTTAATTAATTTCAGTTTTCTGCTGATTTTAATTTTTGTATTAGTTGTAAAAGTATAAGTAGAATTTAAAATAAACTTCTAACTTGAGAAGAATGTGAATGAGTCTGCTACTTCTACAGCGCATTCAGTGAGATCTAATTAATTTTGCTGGGCTATAAAAAAAGGTAACAAGAATACTGTTTTAATAGTAAGACCTTTTAATAACTGAGCATGCAGAACCTGATTTTATCAAACCTTTATACAATGGAATTCTCATGTAATGCTATGGACCAAATTTCCACTGTGGGATTTATGTTATTTGTACAATGGCATCATCACAGATATGATGTAAACTGACAGAAATGATATAATTGGCGTCATTTGCCTGGTGATGTCATCAAATAATGTAAACCCGCTCGAAGCCCTACTATCTAATACAATAGATATTTCTGAATAATCGAACCTCCTCTGCAGTTAGTTTCATTTATTGTGCTTTATAATCCTCTCTCTCTGAGAATAAACAACTATATCAAAATTTATATTTTTCAGTTTAAATATACAAGGATCAGAGCTGTCTAAAACTGGAGTACCTGTTATGCAGAACAGACAAGGTTATTGCAACTGTTGCCATGCACCCTACAGTAATCTTGAACAGGTATTCAGATAAACATTTAACTCCAGGTGACATATGGAAACCTCATTAAAGGGTTTAATAGTTTCTTTTTGAAGGCTTTCCCTATAGAAATAGACCGCTCATGGAAATCTCTCTTGCAGCCACCAAGCTCTCTTTCCCACGTAACCTTGAATTTAAAAAAATGCATGCCGCAAAGCACTATCTCATACTATCTTTATTTTCTAGAATTCCTCTGCATTCCCAAAAAGGGAATGATTACTGGGGGGGGGAAATGGCTGCAGATCAGTGTTTTGTCCTTGAATTGTTTCCATCACCCTCTCCCCCACAAGGAATACAAAGATGCACTGAAGTGTTAAATATCATATTGTGGGGCTAGAAAGTGATGGACAAGGACTTTAAACAGATTAAATGCTTGTCTTAGGACTGTTCACTTCTACCATGGCAGTCATTTGCAAGGACCCAAGCACTTCAATCGTAGTAATTTTGTGAGAGCATCCCCAGAGTGCTCTCAGAATTCTAAGCGGTACCAAAAGAGTTGCCTTTGCCTGTTCTGCTCTTTTAGAGTAGATCTAACAATTTAAAAGCAAAGAATGGGACGTTCCTTTCATGCTTGCAGTTTTATTTTTACTTTTAACTTACAGGTGTTGAAACTTTACTTTTACTGGCTTGAGAAAAGCATGGTTAGGCAAATGAAAAAAAAAAAATCCAAATTGTGCATTAGCTATGATAGAGGACTGTCCCTCACTTATGCAAGTCTAAATTTTCTAATCACCCTTCTTTCTGCATCCCTTCTGTCATGACAGTCTGAACTGGACGTAGCCTCTTGCAAGACATTCCTTTCATCAATAGAAGCTCCCTTTCTAGTAAGATTGTGCAGTGAACTAGATTTGAAGGGTAAATGGTGATTTGGAGCATGAGTGGGCCTGTATGACACATCTATCAGCATTTCCTTGAATCAAATGCAACTTTTCCTGGGATTGCAAAGTGAGTCCTAAGCTCAGTAGTTGCCAATAGATGTGATGTGAGTACTCTCATATGCCTAAGTTCACCTTTTTCCTTTCAAATATAAATCTTTTCTCTGTGGCCCAAAGGGCCCGAAGAAGTGAATACCCCTGTGGTTAGTAGAATCCTTAAGCAACACCTCCCTTGGGATTCTTGTTGGAAGATGGCTTGCAAGAAAGGCTGTTAGAAGATTTTCCTCATGAACCACCTAGTTGATTTGTTTGTACAATAGTTTAGTGCTGAGGAGCAAAACCTGTGAAATGCGGCAGAAATGCTTAGGGGATTGGGATGATTGGGATTATCAGAGGTACCAAAATATAAAATCTGTCGTTGCATTCTTTTACCACATCCTATTTTTTATACCTCTTTAACTAGCAAATTTCACACCGTGGTACCACAGCTATTTTTTTTTTCCAATTATATGCGGGGGGGGGTGTTGTTTTTGTTTTCATTTTTTGCTTTCTTTGGTGCCCTGGCCTTAGCTTATCTGATGCAATTGGTTTTCAGCCAGTGTTTCTTAATTTTATGATATCAAATAATACGTCTCTTAAAGTGATGTTTTTTCTTATAACTTTTCATAATAGAAATTCCTGGAATTTATTCTTGTCTGTTGTAAAGAAAAAAACTAATAGATTATGAAAATACAAAATACTCTTTTCGCTTTATCTTCAGCATGTATACAGTTCCCAGCATAGACATTTTGTCAGTTACTGTAGGAATCGTATGGGTACAACTAGCCTGATGGAGCGTTTCCTGCAAGATGTTCTGCAACATCATCCCTATCGATACTACGACAATAGGTACAATCATTCAATGGTTTGGGCTATCTGGATGTTTTATAATACAAATCCAATGTGTTAAAGTAGAAATGTATTAAATTTGCAGCATGTTGGGCCATCTGAAATATATTTTTAGCTGGAAGCAACTTGAAAAACAAGTTGTAAAAGAAGAGTGAAAGCTCTGTGTTGAACTTGTTGTGGTTTTGTGCTCATTATTTTTGCTTTTGTTTTCAGCAATGTCTCTTTTTTCTGTTTTGCTGAGGAAGGAGAAATTATAACACCTGCTTTTTTAGTGCATTGGGCTACGTACACTCTGAGTCATTTAAATGCCTAATCATGGAAAAAAGTAGTGTCTGGTATCATTATAAAGAAGCTACTAAATAAGAGAAGAAAATGCATAAATATAAATATTATGGGAGAAGTATGTTAAAAATGGAACGAAGAAACAGTGATAATGTAGAAATTTCTTGGAAGAAATCATGTACGTATCGTGTCAGTTGAGTACCATCAAATTGTCCTCAACTCCCGGTGACTGCACAGACGAGTGCCTGCCATCTTCACAGGGGGAGCCTACAATTATAATCTTATAAACATTAATTACTGTGAATTAATAGTAATTCATACTATGGAGTGAAATGTTTCTTCAGCCTGTTAAAATGACAGTCTGCCAGATTTAACTACTGACTAAATTCCCTTGTGTGAAGACATCACTTAGATAAGATTGTTTTTGTTTTCTCCTTATGCAGTGGAGCTGGGCCAAGCAAGGGAGGGGAACTACCTAACAGACGATAGAGGGAAGGATGGGTGAAGGAAGGATAAATGCAGCCTGTTCAAATGTTGGGAGGAGAAGACTTGTTCAGGAAAACAGCTTGCCCATATTTTTGCCCATATTTTTCTGTATGTAGTGGCTTCTGGGCATAAAAGAAATGCCATTTAGAAATATTTAGAAAGATTTTAGACAAAAGAAAACATATAAAGAATAAGCAGTGCGTGGAGAGACTGTCATGAAAATCTACTTATTGAAAGAAGACGGTATAAATGAAGCTATAGATCAATCTGAAGACCAATATACCTGAAGAACAAGCTAGTAAATTAGATAACTGCATCATTCTGCAACACAGTCTGAGCCTTTTAATACTAGTATGATTTAACATGTAACCTCCTAAGCTGTTTCCTGTGTTGAATATTGTTTAAAAAAAAAAGTTTAGCTTAGTTTTCCTTACAGCTTTTTTAAATAATTAACAAGTTTTTCAATTTATTTACTAAGTGAGAGTACCATTAAGAGAAATCCTCATATGCCAGTTGCAATTTCTTTATAGTATATAATTCATGTTCTTAATTTTCGATCTTTATGACAGATCATACTTAATTTTACCAAGTAGATTCTACCCCATATTTCTCCAGTGAGTTAAGAGGGAGGCACTTCAGAGTTCCCCATTTAGATTGGAGCTACAGGTAGTCCTTGGTTAACGACCACTTGTTCAGTGACCATTTGAAGCTGCAACAGCATTGAACAAGTGGTACTTACAACTGCTCCTCAGAGTTCCAGCCGTTGCAGCACCCCCGCAGTCATATGATCACAATTCAGGCACTAGGCAACCAGCTCACACTTACAACAGTTGCAGCATCCTGTGGTCATGTGACCGTCATTTGTGACCTTCCCTGCCGTCTTCCCACAGCAAAGTCAATGGGTAAGCCAGCAGGGAAGGTTACAAGTTGCTCCCATAAGTTGCTCCTGCCGCTTTTTCTCCCAAGGAGCCCACTACAGAGTACGAGATCCCAGGGATCGCGTACTCCATAGCGCATGCCTGCAGCATCCCCTCCCATTCCTAGCCACACTTGCGTGGTGCCACAACACTCTCCCCCACCCGGCCACCCTCCATAGCACTCGCCTGCCTGCCAGCCTGCCTGCAAACCACCCGGGACTTGTGACTTCCTGCCACCTTCCCCACTGACTTTGCTTGTTGAGAAATGTCAGCAAGTAGCAGTCATGTGAGGCCATTGCTTAATGACCTGCATTCCTCACTTAACGACAGTAGTGGGGGCTGCCAGGATTGCCGTTGCTAAGCGATGCAGTCACTTGACATCGCACTTTATGGCCTCATTGCTTAGCAACGAAAATTCCAGTCCCAATTACTGTTGTAAGCTGAGGACTAATCTCTGCTTCTAGCTTTTTAATACTTTGGAATTGGATCAGGATTCATACTGAAAATATATAAATGATTTATGGAAAAATGATAAAAAGTCATGCTATAAAGGTAGCAAAGCAACTAGAAAAGGAAATGCAAGGAAGTTTGTTAATAATAGAGGATTCCAGTGGGTATATGTACTTTTGTGTGAAGATTCTTTGTTTTCCAAGGACTGGGCAGACCACAGCGCAGAAGACAACTGTACAAAAAACATAAAATATTGTTAAAGCTAAAAAATGCTACTCCAATGGCCATTTTGCTTTAGAAAGCAGATGGATACAAATCAGGTCTTCCCCGTGACATTGAATGGAATGTTGTGTTTGAACAATTTATTAAGAACTGGACAATTTCTGAAAATATTTATGAAGAAAACCTTGATAAAATAGAGGTGTCTTACCCAAAGTACCTAACATTAGGTTGGTTATATGGAAGATATTGTTAATATATCAGAGCCTGCAACCATACTCTTAAAAAGCAATCTGGAAAGAACATAGTTCATTGATGGTGCTGTTGAAACTTGGAAGGCATATCAAAAACTCTGAAGGAATATAATTGAGACTAAAAGGACGGGGGGAAAACCCTACCATGACATGGAAATCTTAAAAATTATTTTTTGGATATTCCTGTCGCAATAAATTTCAAGACTGTCAGGAAACCATTTCAGTAGCACATTCTGATGATGTTTAGAGCAAAGCCATTCTTCTGATTTGGAGGAATCATTCCTCAGACATATTCAACCACAGTTGCTTTAGTTGCTAAGCCAACATTTTACTGTAGGAGCTTTCTTTACAGGCACAGAGGGAATATTTTCATTATTTGCTATTCACTCCAAGCTAAGAAACCAACTGGGACTTGAAAAACCTAGTAGCGTTCACATATTTGCTTCAGTCCATGAATATATGAAAACTAAAATAAAAAGCGAAAAAGATGAGAAAGAGAAGGTAATAAAATTTGATGTAAAAAAATAAATACAGCTGTAAGCTAAGACATTTGCAGTTGCAAATGTGAAATGCTGATGTGATATTTAAGGTTTAGTTTAATAAACACAGTAGTGCTTTTTTGTGATTTAGTTCCTTTGTTCTTAATATGCTATCAACTGCATTTGCAGCTTGTCATGTGTAATCAATATTAAGAACTATTTTCTAAATTAATAGTAATATAAATATGTATGGTGTGAAATCATGTATTGAGTGCCATATGTAAATAATGATTGTTACAAACCTGATTTCACTTAGTGATTTAAATCAGAGGTAAGTTATCATTTTTCAGATTTGAGGATACAGATGGTCTTTAAGAGATGTGCCAGCAACTGTGTTCCAAAAACTGAGTGGTGGCAGGACAAATATTAAATTAAATATAACTAATACAATTTCTCTCCATATAATTTTTCCCCTTGGGCACATTAAAAATTACAATTTCATAGCAACTTTTGGAAGAACTGTAAACAACAAGTTGACATCCCTGCTTTAAATCAATAGAGATGTAGGGAACCAAGGTTTGGTGTGACATGAATAAGCATAACCTACTGGTCTTGCATGGTTTTTCTTCCTCCATTTACTTTCATTTTTATTTAACTACACTCTGGAATGACAAACAGTAGTTAAAAATAAAACTAACTTTAAGCTGTTTTTTTCTGAAGCTGGCTTGTTTAATCTGACAATAGTTAATATAATCATAGTTCCTAATTTGGTTCACCACAAGTGGAAATGAAAGTACTAAACTTCGGAAGGGGAGGGGAGTGTGTCTTCCAGGAGGAGGCTAAGCTGGTTCATATCTCATTAAAAGTGAACTGCTTAGCATGATATTCAGATAATGGCCATTGTGATAAATAGTTGACTTTCTTAATGTAGCAGAATGCTTTTATATATTTCAAAATTTAATCTGAAATTGGTGAGCATCATTGCAGCACGTGTTATATGATTGACTTATGATATTTGATAAGTGATTCAAATCATAGTAAGAAGTAGGCTTGACATAAATTTCATGGGTTTTCTTCAATGAGAATCGTAACTTCTGTTTTGCATAAATTGAGCAATGTTGTTTAACAATATTGTGATCACTGAGCTAAATTGATTCTAAGCCTGAATATGTCTACCCCCCTCAATTATTGCAAAATTACAAACATGGGGATGGATGCTAAATGGATGGGGGTAGGAGACGAGCCCTTTCCAAAGCTAGGAGAGGCACATTGCTGAATGACCGAGCTAGGTTCTGGAGTCTTCCATTAGAGTTTGGCATGGCAGATGAGCTGGGAAGAAAGTATTGTGATCTCCTACTGTGAGGAGTGAGATTCCTAGGTTAATTCTATTATTTCTTTCTGCTCATCTTTGTCATGCTTCCATCAAACTGTTATACATCTGGCATAACATAAGCTGCATTCCCATGCTGTCCTCACCTGGACTAAAGTCACTTTGTGCTGAACTTAAACAATTCTGTCATTTTGTGGAATCTTAATTTGGAAGTGGGGATTCAGTGCTTTTAGTAGTCTTTCAAAATCTATTAATAAAATTCTGAACATTGATTATGAAGATGCTATTGGTACTTCTCAGTATTTAATTCTTCAGATGGCATGAACATTGGGCTATTCTTGTAGTCACATCACTCACATGGTGCAGCAGCCAGCCAGGGAATGGGTTATTTTAATGAAGGCTGACTAAAATAGTATTTTGCTCTGGTACTTGATATATTATTTATAAAAGTTAGGAGGGTAAAGGAGGATTTTTTCCCTTTGAGCTTTATTCATTATGCTTTTATGTGGTGTGCTGTATTGATGGTACTGAAGATATTTCTGAAGGCTGCAGTTTCATGCTGCAGGATTTTTGTTTAATTCAGTATATTGATCAGATTTCAAGAGGCAACAAGAATATAAAGTAACATTCTTCACAGTATCGTTAACGTTTGATATTATGTTTACTGATGTGGGGTTTTTTTCTAGAATCTTTTAAAATGTATATCTAACCATTTATTCATATATATCACCATTGAAGGAGAAGGTGCAGCATCAGAATTGACTTATTAAGGATTTTTAAAATTAAAGTAGCCCACAGTGGAATGACTATTGACAGAGATGACAAGATTTAGTTAACAAAAAAGCAGGCCATGAGGTGAGAAACATTTCCATATACAATTGTGAGTGGAGAATGGAGGATTTTCCCCCCCACTTTTTATACAGCTACAATAGATTTATATACAGGTAGTTCTTGACCTATGACCATTCGGTCAGCAACCATTCCAAGTTATGATGGTGCTAAACCGGTGGTTATGACTGGTCTCGGAGTTCTGGCCGTCACAGCACCCCCATAGTCATGTGATCGTGATCTGGATGCTTGGCAACCTATTTGCACTTAAGCTGGTCGCCAAGCACCCTGCGATCATGTGATCACCATTTGCATCCTTCCCTGCCAGCTTCCCCAGAAAGTTAATGGGGAAGCCAGCAGGGAAGGTTGCAAGTCACTGGGGTAAGTCTCCTCCACCCGCACACCCTCCCCAGCCCCTCTGCACTTGCACAGCGCCGGCCACTCGCACCCCCCCACAAACCCTTCCCAACCCTTGCACCTCCCATGCATGTGCCCCCTTGCACCCTCTCTAACCCCTGCTGCACCTCCCTTGCACCCTTGTGCACCCTCCCCAACCCAGGCAGCATCTCTTGCACACCCTCCCTGACCAGCGCCTCTTGCACCTCTTCCCTGACCCTCGTTCACACACCCTCCCTGCACCTCTTGTGCACCCTCCTCCCCACCCCCACATACCCTCCCTCGCTCCCCCACCTGGCAGCAGCTACTTACCTGCCTGTTGGCCTAAGACTTGCAACTTCCTGTCAGCTTCTCCACTGACTTTGGTTGTGGGAAGCAGGCAGGAAGTTGCCTCACCTAACAACCATGGGATTCAGTTAATGACGGCAGCCAGGACTGCAGGGATTGCTGTCGCTAAGCATAAATCACGCTTTATGACCTCATCGCTTAGCGATGGAAATTCCAGTCCCAATTGCCATCTCAAGTTGAGGACTATTAGTATAACCTTTTGCGGATTAATTGAAGGAATTTTGCATTACGGAAGAAGTTTATGTGTATATTTTGTGTGACAGGAAGCTCCTACTGTTTATGAGGAGGATAAAAAATAGAGACTAGTGGCATCAGAATTAATCTCACAATCTAGAACAATCTTGCTTAACTCATATTAGTTAAAATAAACTTTACTATTGTTATTACTTAGATAACCCTAGATTTGTCTGAGTTTTTAGTGGAACTCCCTTTTTCAGTCTTGGTGTATAAATGTATACTGAGTATAGAATTATTCATTTTCTCGTTCATACATTTTGCTTATTCTGATTTTCTTTAAAAATCAGTGAATCCTACAAGTTCCAGTGTAGGATTTCTCATTTTATAATGTAGATATGAACTGGACCTTAGTTACTTTTTTTAACAGCACATTCAGAGACAGCTGTTTACTTAATTGATTACATTAAAGTTGCCTACAATTACTGTAGCTAAGGCTAGCTTTGCGAACCATGCTGGCTTAAAATAGAGAGGATTAATTTGCAGTTCAGTGTGTTATGCCAGTTCAGCTGTTCTCGCTAGTTTATGGCTCGGTGTCTTATGTGAACGCAGACATGAACCATGATTCTTGTAACTGTGGGTTCACAGCTTAAGGTTTTTAGATTGAAGGCTCATGTATTTTTATCTGAGTTGTTCCCTGGGATCTTTCCCTGGTGTTTTAGTATTCCAGAACACATTAACCATTGTGACAGAAATATTTGGCACAAAAAGTGGTTCTGGAGATAGAGGTGCCATCTCCCCAATGATGTAGAATGTTGAAAATTCCCTCTCATTCCTCACTGTTGCATAGCAGCAGGATTTAAACAACATTTTATTATCCATGAAATTCAGAGCTCAAACTTGTAAGTTCCTGAGTGGTTTATAAGTGGTTGGTAGGCCACTTTGGTTTGCAGCTATACTGCTAGTCATACTAATAGGACCATTAAAGTTTTATTAACTCTTCTGGCTTTTAATCCCTTAGTTGCACATTTTGCTTTAATGTTCAATAATTTATAATATTGATGTGTATTTTTTCCTTTCCCTAGACCAACTTATGATGACATGCCATTCAACTCCCAGCTTCTTGCAAGGGATGGGGCTGCTCTTTCTGTGGAAGTCAAAGAGAAAGAGAGAGATACAAGCAGGGTGGAGGATCCAAACACTGAGAGTGGATTGACTGCTGAATCAGGCTGCCTTATTTCCCAGAGCCATGAAAAGCTGAAGAAAGCTTCTGAGGCACTCCTACCTATCCAGACCCTAGGAAGGGGGCAACAGCCCAATCTAGGAGCTTCACAACGAACTATGGATATTTCCAGTAATACAAACAATCTTGGTCCAACAAGCATTTTGACTGAAAATAATAGTCAGAAATTTACAGCTAAGGACGTTTTACCCCATCCATTACCTGTTAGCCAGTTGTCATCTACTCCTCATAGACTTGCAAAAAACATTAGATATCCAGTAACAACAGATTTAGTTTTAAATGACATACGTGAGCAGACTAATCAGGATATATGCAACCAAGATGGATTTCTGAATTCAAACGAAAGTCCTGTTTTACAGTCAGTCCCATCAAAAACTGTTTCACATTCTCATGAGAGTCCTGTCTATAATAAAGGCAACTCTTTAATCTCAGGTCAACTTTTTTTAAAACAAGATGAGTTAGAATCTCAGGATGAAACTCAGATTAACTTCTGTCTCAGGAATACTAGAAAACCTGTGGGCACCAGCAATTCCCTGACTTTTCAAGCAACTTCCCAATTATCGAGACAAAAAGAACATTTGTACAGAAGTGCTGAAAGTTCTATAAATGAAATAATTGAACAAGTCATTTTGAAATACTGCTATGAAGCTCCTCCCAAAGAGTTGCCTTGCAGAGAAGAAGATGCAAATTCCTGTGTAAATATACTGTCACTTTTGGATCACAGTAGTCTACATGGCTCAGATATAAGTTTTGACTGTGATGCAGCTGTTGATTCAGGAGCAAACCTGCCCAAGTTAACTGTTAAAAATCTAGAACTTCTCAAAGAAGTTAAAGTAAATCTACAAGATGAAAATTATGGCACCCAACTCAGTTCCATTTTTAATAACGTTTCAATGCCGCAAGTAGCTGAAGCAGAAAATGACATTTCAGTTCAAAATGAAGAGCCAGTTCTTCCAGCTCTGCCTCATGTGCCTCCTTCCTTCGTAGGAAAAACCTGGTCTCAGATCATGTACGAAGATGATATGAAAATTGAAGCACTTGTGCGGGATTTCAGAGAAGGCCGCTTCCGCTGCCATTTTGATACTGAGTCCTTGGCTCATCGTACACAGAGCAGGCTAAGAAAAAAACCCCAAAAAAGTGATGAGAGGATCAATACAGTTGCAGCTAACAAAACGGACGCTGGATCAACTAAAGGGGTTCCAGAATTTACTGATGGGCTAAGTGATGGCCCTGACTTTAGCAACTTATCTGCAACTTCAGAAATACATGTTCCAAAACCACTGAAGAATCCCAAAAAAAGGATTTGGCGCCTTGCCTCAAGATGCCAAGTAGTCAAGGTTAGCCATGGCACACAAACAAGTTTGGTACAGTATCCAGTAGTAAAACAAAAAGTAATTAGGAAGGACTATCAGCTACAAGATCAGATGGCTAACCTCCTTTGGTCAGAGAATGAGAAAACACCTGCCATGAAAACTAGACTATGTGCTCTTAGGCTTCCCAAGTCTTATACCAAAATCATGAGCCCTTTACAGCCACAAACGGTAGTCTATGTTCTTTCATGTCCAGAGACGAAACAATCTAGGAACAAGGCTGAAGAGGTTCCCAAAATTAAAAGTCATAGCTCCACAGATAGTAAAGATTCTGTAAGGTATAAATACAAACAAACTTCTATTAAGTATTATGATCCTCTGACAAATCGAATTTTAAAAACACCTCCCAAATGCGTACCTGGGGAGAAGACAAAGAAGCCTACACATGTTCGACAGCTATTCAGGAATCTCAACCTTGATGGAAACAGGAAGAAACAAGCTGATACCCAGTATATGTCAAAGTCCTTCAATTCACCAGACAACCATGCTTCAGCAGCATCTCTCTTGCTTGATCCTGTTAAGGAGAATGATATGAATTCAAGTCACCATAAGACAGATGAATCTTCTATTTCTACAGAAAGATCTGAGTGTTTGGTATATAACTGTTCAGAGAAATGCTGTAAACCCTTATTTGTTTCACCATTGAACTCACACCAATCAGAACAGGAAAGCGACTTTCAGTTCAATCCATTTAATAGAAAAGGAATCAAATGTCCCTTGAAGTCCCATACAGCTGATCATTTAGAAAGAGACAATCCAAAGAAAATATGGCAGAGAAAAAAAATCAATAGTAGAGAATCAGGGTTTCCTAAAAAAACTTCAGGACTAATTTTTGTCAAACATGACCTTGTTAAGAAAGGCAGTAGGAAACAACCACCCAGAAGTACAACTCAGCAAATAGAGAGAAAGATAAAAAAGATTTCTTCTTGTACCCTCAAATCATCTATTCTCAGGCACCACTCTAAGAAAACTACCATAGCAAAGCACCTTCAGAAAGAAAAAGCTGATATTAAAAAGCTGACAGTGTCAAGGAAGCCGAAAGGAACATTTTTGAACACTGCAGCTGGAATGGGTGTTCCTGAAAAAAGGCAGAGAGCCACTGTAAGGACTTCTTCCAAAGTAAAGGCATGGGAAATGACTAGAGACAAGAATCTTTTTTGCACTGTGAAATGATGTTACTCAGATCATATAAACTTGCTTTTTGACTGTCTAAGAGGGCTTGAAAGGGAGAGGAAAGTGGGAGTGGCTTTTGAAATGAATACATCAGAATTAGAAATGGAACAAGTTCAAGATCCGACAGTAAGCTAATACGTCAAGAGGTAGTCCATATTGCTGCTTTGTAAGTGTTCTGCACATTACACGTTGAGTAAGGCTACCTTTTTTTAAGCAGTAAAAGCCCAGTGTTGCAGCTTGCTATATTATTTTTGTCACACAGAGCATTATTTTCCCGTGTAAAACCAATGTCAGTTATTGAAGACATTTACCTTTTACATGAGGCTCAGTTTTGATATCTTGTTGGTAAACTAAGCAATGCCAAAGCTCATCCCACAGCAGCATGAAACTAAATGGGCATTCCTGCTGTTTAGTTAAGACTGTCAGTTTCCCCTTAACTTCCCTGAAGAATCTTTGATTGTCTAGAGCCACTTTTATGGAAATTGCACATGGAAGTTTGGGGTGTATGCATTGCATTTGCAGAAGTGACTTCACCTTGTCTGGAATGCAATTTTGGATATAAATCACACTGATTGAGTTTGTAAATTCAGATCACAAATACAGAATTATCCATCCTCTGTTTATTCCCTTGTCAACAAACAGCATCAGAGATCATTCTAGAATGAAGCTAGTCTTGAAAAACATTTTTTCTTTCTTTCAACTTTTTTATTTTTCCTGGAAGAATGATTGATTTTTAAGAACATACAGAATGGTTAATCAAGATTGCTGTGTATAAGCAATATTTCTATCCTTAATCTGCCCTTAAAAACATGCATTACAGATATCTAGTTTTACTTCACAATGTAGTTGTGAAAGCATCTGAAAGTAATTTCAATAAGCAAGTTTTATTTCGTGTTTAAAATAGATTTCCAAATTGAAATTGTGAAAAGTAACATCCTATACTTAATTTTTTTGACTTGCATTAATATGTTTATTAAAAACATTTTTCTGACTACATGTTCCAAGTTATATGTTACTCTCAAATATAAAATAATGTTATAATTCTCCATCTGGATTTATTGAATTTCTGTTTTCTGAGAAGAGACCTTCCAACAGGTATTTGCATGAGAATGAATATTTTGTTCAACATCCCTGGTTGTTAGGACAATACTTCCAGTGTACTGTCACCACAAACTATTGTAGCCTGGTAATTATTGGTGCCTCTGTCATATACTATTCTAATACAAACATATTTAAACAAAAGCTCTTTAACTGATAATTTTATAAGTTACTTGATAAAAGTTTTATTGCAAAAGTTTCTTTTTCAACTGTTTTGTGTTTATATGCAAAATTTCACTGATACATTTATGATGGATAAGAGTGTCCTTTTTAACTAACATGCTGATTTTTGCATTCTGATCTGTAAGCTTTTGTGAATATTCTGACAGAGTACATGGTCTTATCTTCATCAGTTGTTAAATTGTATATATTTCCGTACTGTCCTGCTTTCTTAACCCTCCCATTTTTTCCCAACCTCAGGATGCACAAGGCACAGACTGTCTAATTTTAAACATTTTTTAATATTTGTATGTCTGTCTTTGGGTTATAAATTGGTTCCTCAGAGTGCCATTTTAAAAAAAAGATGTTAAAAATGGCTATATTTAAAGAATTTTGATAATTATCTTGATATATTTATATATTTTCTTTAAAACAGGAAGAAGTCTAACATCTTATTTTTTGTATTGTAAAGAGCTTGGAATATAATTTTGGGGGAAATTGTGCAGAATTGAAAATTCTATAATTATTACTTTTGAATATGCCTCACTCCTGGATTTAAGATTACAGTGTATGCTTGGTCAAATAAATGTTGGGGAGACAATATATTTTGGTTAAAACTGTATTTTATCAGTTTGCTGGTTTTATGGGTAGGTTTTTAACTTATTATCTTATAGAATTACAGTATGTGGAATGCTCAACATTTTAATAAATAAACCAGGATCCAAAAAGTGCTGTGTAAACGTCTAGATGATTTCCTGTGCCATGGGCATGCCTGTTGTCTGTTCTAACTAAGGACTCAGTTTCATATTTTTACAGGCTTTCAGATTCTGAGATGCTAGGGGGTTAGTTTCTGTGATCAGTCTTAAAATATGTTTTCCTATTTAGTCCCCACACTGCGCCCACCAGGCTCACTCCTTATCTGTCCCATCCCCTCATATACTAAACACTACTTTTCAGCATCCAGTTTCAGGCTGAGCCTCAAGATTTGAGCCTCAAAAGTTTCTAACCAGATTTAGAATGCATCTCATGTTGCGACAAGTAGTTCTGGAATATATATTCCTGGGGGACCTAGAGTGTTGAGGATGCAAGGAGGACACAGTTGTCATTGTGTGTGCAGAAGCCCCCTTTTCCTTTTCTGACAATGAATATTATATGAATGATTTACTTCAAAGAAGAGGAGAGCTGCCATAGAAATGTTTTAATGAATATTTCATCAATGCTGCACGAGTATGTGTTGAATGGAGGCATAGAAGAGAAATTTGTTTGATCCAAATTTTATAGAGACTGATCCCACTAGCATCAGTACAATATTTATTTTTCAGGGTATTGTAATGCAGTTTGAAATTTAAAATGTACACAACAGTGCATATAAAAGAAAAGAGCTTCTAAAGAGCAGTGTTAGGGAAAAAGTAAGCATGTTACATTAACAAATCTCATATTAGGAAAAGAAAATGCAACAGTAGATGTGCAAAAATTAAAATCAATTTTGCACTCTTGTTGCATTTACCCAACTGCAGTGGAAAAGTGAAAGACAATTTCTACTTTGGAAAATGAGAAACTAAACAGACCAAAATGACAGATTCATCCATTCCTATTTAAATGTCAGGACTAAGATTTTAAACATGCCTCCAGGAACCTAGCACAAAAGATTGTTTAAAAACTCACTGAAAGACTGCCATTAGTTCTAAGACTCATCCCCACTGGAAGGACTTGCTACTGAACTACAGTATACCCAGTGTATCAATTTGCCCAATTATATTTTTGCAAATAAATGCCTCCTTATAATGCATGTAATTCAGTTTGGGGAAAATACTTTTCAAAGCTTTGAAGGTTTCATGTCACTTGTCTTTTAGAGGAAAGTGAGCAAAACAAAACTGCAGAAATAATAGACATTTCTAAAACAAATACTGCAAATAATAAAGTTGGAATGCCATTTTGTTATAATAGCAACATTTTCACAAATTATTAGTAGAATCAGTGTAGGTCAAAATCATTTTTCAGATTTTTCACCCTTCATGCAATGTATAAACTTCATAGAAATCTGCATATTATTTTATTTATGGTTTTGCAAATGCTGGTTTTACCAGACTTAACTTCCTGTTCTATTGTGATGGCTAGTGTGGGTCTTCTGGGCTATGTGGCTGTGTTCTGGAAGTTTTGTTTCCTAACGTTTCGCCAGCATCTGTGACCGGCATCTTCAGAGAGCAGGAGCACAGACAGGAGCAGTTCTCTCTGTGCCCAGGATGAGGTGACCCTTTTGTGGGTATTGGAAAGAGATACCCTTGCAATATTGTTAGTAGACAATGTTTTTATAGCTAGGATTCTCCTAGAGAATCTTTTATACTAATAATTTGTGAAAATGTTGCTATTATAACAAAATGTACCCACAAAAGGGTCACCTCATCCTGGGCACAGAGAGAACCGCTCCTGTCTCTGCTCCTGCTCTCTGAAGATCCCGGTCACAGGTACTGGCGAAACGTTAGGAAACAAAACTTCCAGAACACAGCCCAGAAGACCCACACCAACCATCGTATTCCGGCCATGAAAGCCTTCGACAATACATTCCTGTTCTATTATTAAAAATGGGGGCTCCCACTTCTTTGCAGTGATTTTCCATTCTAACCTTTCTTGATTTTTATTGTTTCCTCTTTATTCATTTTCTAAATGAATAAAACGTGTTTAATTTCACTTGTATTCATTATTAAAGTTGTCGATATATATTATATTGCACCTAATTCATAGTCTGCATACCAAAATATACTAGAGGCAGATTATTTTGTCAATTGCATCAAAAAGGGTGGAAAGAGATACCCTTGCAATATTGTTAGTAGACAATGTTTTTATAGCTAGGATTCTCCTAGAGAATCTTTTATATATTGATTACAAGGGAACCTAGCCATCTAGCTGCAAATACACTATTTATAGTTGTTGCCACTACACACACTGAACCAATAAAATTGAAGTACTTTTGTCCTGAGGAAAACAATCATGCTTGAAGCTGAATTGAATTGAATTCAGTTTGATTTCGTTAAAATGGATGAGAAGGATTTTTGTGAGTGTAACGTCAAACTACTCCCTGATTACTCATATTGCATCACTGGTTTAATCACTGAATGAGATGCCACTTAAATTTGCCAGATATTGTTAAATTCAGTTATATATCCCTAAGTGTTTAAAGTACAGAAGAGAGGACACTGTATTTCTTAGGATCAGAATATGACTTAAACCAATCTAACATTTGCTTTTAGGGTGAACGCTAGGATCTCACTTAGGAGAATGTGCAAAATGGCTCCAATAACAGCAGTTGCTCTAAAAGGTTAATATAGTTAAATCTAAAATCACTTAGTTGCAATGTTACAGATTTTGTTTTATTTTATTTATGCATTTTTAGTTGAAGAGCATCTTTGGATCCTGCTCGGTTCTCCATTTGATTTCTGCTTAAGCCAGTTTGAGAGCTCTTATCTGCTGCTCCAGTACATAGTACCATGAAAATGATCATTCCAAACAGTCATATAGGCTGTAATTACTGAATGCTGAATTGATAAAAATAGGGTAGCTCAAGAGTTTTACAATATGAGTAAGCTTTGCATTTTATATGAAAAGTCAGGTTTTTAATGTCATATCAGTTGTCCATATTTTTTACCAGTAGTAGGCAGACACAAGTGGAACATAATAAAATACAGGTATTTCTCCTTTGCTTGTGACCATTTACAATTAACTCACTTTTACAAAACCTGGAAAAAGAAAAATATTTTCTTTCAATAAAATAAATATTAAATTAGTGGTGATCTGTTTAAGTTTAATTCTAAACAGTGTTAAATATTTCTTTGTTGTTACTATCATGCTCTCTCAGCCCAACCCACCTCACAAGATTGTTGTTGTGGTAAAGAGGAGGAGGAAGCATTATGTACCTCGTTTTGGGTTGTATAAAGTAAAGGCAGGATATAAAATTAAATAAAAAATATAATCTAGTTTACATAACAATTTACGTTATGGTAATTCACACAACTAGTCTGGTCTACTTCACGCTCATTTATAGTTGTATAACAGCCCATAGGAACTGCAGCAATCATTTATATAAAAACCTATTCCAAAAATTGCCTCCAAAATACAGTATCTGAAAAAAAAAATAGCTTTGTAAATTGAACTTTGCCCCTCTAATAAAATCTGTTAAAATGAAAATCAGGAAATGGGAAAATATAAAGTTATCATGGCTTGGAGGAATTGCAACCACTAGGATGGTTTTACTCCCTAATTATGTTTATTTCAAGTTTTACCAGTTAATCTATTTTAATTAACTCTTACATGACGGCAAAAAAATATTTATTAATTTTATACTCGCTGGGAAAAGGTTGAGGTTTAGTTTAAAAAAAAGTTCTATTTGAAAATATCTCAGGGTGGATTTGGAATTCCAAATTTATCTTTTTATTATTAGGCTTTCCACTTATAAAATATCCTTTGATTATTAGCAGAAATGGAAATCAAAATCTGACTTGAAATGAAAGACTCAGAAGAATAGCGCTGAGATACTAAACACTCCTTATTCATGCCAGACACCTTTAAAAGGTTTAAAGCCTTCTACAATTCTTTTTGGAGTGCTAATTTTAAAATCTGGGTGAAATGGCTAAAAACGTTAGCTCCCTTTTGTTCTCTTCTGTTTTTAGCTATCCTAAATTCTCTGTATCTGTTACTACATTTTATAAACCAAAATTAAATCAGAAATTGTACAGTCTGAAGGATTTTATCATTCTGGCAAGCCTACTAATTTAGAGGTGATAATTAATGAATTAACTTCTTCAGAATGTGCTTGGCTATTCAATTACAGTTCAGATCCTTAATTCAGAAATAAAAGCTAAGGCAAACAGACCCTAGACAAAGTTTGAAGCAGAGGTATTGAGTCTTTCAGATTCTTCTAAGAGACCTATCTCTAAACTATATAATATTATCACAGGAAAAAAAAAAATACACCAGCCTCTAATTTGTTTGCAAATGGCTTGGGAAAAAGTATTTCGAGACTGGAATAAAATATAGAAATGGAAACCAGTGTCATCATCCTCAGCCCGAATTAAAGAATATTATCTTTAAAAGACTAGAGAAGGTATATGACTCCTTTTAAAATAGTATGCATAAACAAAAAAAGCTCCCCTTTTGGTTGGAATGATTGTGAGGAAAAGGGAACTTACTTCCACTTGTGGTCACGTCTGCATGTCTTTTTCTTCTGGTCTGGGGTATTTCTGGATATTGGTAAAATTAGAAATCAAAGAATTAATTTGTGTCCACAACTTGCTTTGATAAATATCTTTTTAGGGTCTAACGCTAATACCTACTCTAAAAAATTAGTGGTATTTTTGTTGACTGCCACCAGAATGTCCATAACTAAACATTAGAAAGAAAAAACCGTGACATTGGAGCTTTGATACCAAAACGTTTGGCCTATCACAATAGCTGAGAAATTGACCTACGCTCTTCACCTGCGTTCTGGTCAAGCTAAAGTTAAAGCCTTCTCGAATATGTGGTCTGATTTCATATCTTACGCTAACCAGGGGAACCATAATTGTTTTATCCCAGATGAATATATTAATGTGTGGGAAGAATATTAAGGAATTATTAATATGTGGTTTTATGAATTGTTTTTCTTGTCTCCCTTTTTAACCCTTATACAGTATGTATGGCTTGAATTTTATTGTGCTGTTTATCCTTAATGTAAATTTTTT